GCAAGCGTGGCTCATCTGGGTCCTCTTCAATCCTGGTAATTTTTTGATCAGCGGTTATGTGCACTCTTAACTCTCCTGCAACGATCCTTGGATTCTCTCTTGCTAGTATTGCTTCAACCGAATCAAACTGATAAAAGTTCCCGACTTTTATCTTGCGAGAAATCTCGGCGATATCTTTTTCATCAACCATTGACTCGATTAGTCGTGCCTATAAGATAAGCAGTTAAACGGTTCCAAATTATGTATTATAGTAGTTTAAAATTGTTGATGAAGAGATTATCTAATTCTGTAACTGAAATGGAAAAAAACCTTTTTATCTATCCAGATCATGTGCATACTCGAGCCATGCCATCACAGGCCTAGCAATTACTATGCGGACATTGGTGCCCAGACGCAGCCCTCGAAATGGCATGCAAGTTTCGATCGGATCTATAATAAGACAGTATAGGGAAATGAAACACATATTTTATCTTTGGAGCAGAGGATTCGAGATACCTGGTAGTATTCTTTAACAAAATTGAAAAGCATTCACCTTTGTTGTCGGTGGGGACCATGTGAGCGTTCTCTGTTGACTGCTGGTTTTTTGCCAAACCCTCCATGTCTTTTGGGGTCTTTACGCAAACAATGTGGATGATGATCAGAAGTTAATTCCCAAGTGTGAAAACGGTGAGGATGAGGAGGACGTGGAGTTACCTTTGTTTTAAAGGCTGTCGTGTAGTTTGGTGGTGGGGCTTTCGCGGCGGAGCAAAGTGTATGGAAATGTGGACGGCGGATCTGGTTGATGAAGACAGTTATTAGGGATTATAAAGGAAGCGGTGATTTTGGGCCAGTTTCCCATGGGCTTCTGTCTGCAATTCTAAAGCACGTTCGGGCTGGGCTCAATACCATTCCATTACTATCAAAACGTAAGAAAACGTGGGCTCGGTTTTAGTAAGCGTTTAAGGCCGAAGAATTCAAAACGCAAACAATGTCTCCTGCTAATTTCGATCAAAGGATCATGATCAAATATTCTATTGTGTCATTCTGCAAGAACAGGAAGAACATGAAGAACATGCCCAGAATTCAAAACGCAAACAATGTCTCCTGCTAGTTTTTCATGATCAAATAAAAAGATTAACCTCTCTAAACTATTGAGATACAAACATCAAGGATTTCCATATGTACTAAACAAAATAACCAGTAGCTAGCAAATTGTCGAAGCGAGTACATTGGTGAATTTCCAAAATACCAGAGTAGTTAGGGGAAAACATTAAGTTATGTTTACAGAAAACAAAGCAACATGTCCTGAATAGATAACATACATAATTATAAATAAGCCGTCCCAACAAACTAAGTTCCAAGTATAACAGTTTCTAATCACACAAAAGCATTAGGGTTCCAGATTGAAGCAATTCGGATTGCAGGAGGATTTTCTGGAGTCCCAGGAGCAACATAAGCTTCAGCCATAAAAGGCACATAACATCTGTCTTGAATGTACTGATATCCTTCTTCATAGGTTAGACTGAACAGTTCCTCGGGTGACACCCAAACCAAGCCCAACACAGCTTCATGATCAAACACAACATCAACATATTCTCCCTCACACTCACATGTTGCTTGTAATTCATATTGTACCCTGAATTAAACAATAAAAGTAACGTTTTGATCTTCCTGAAATGCAATGGACAACAGATTATTAGTAAAACATAAAATTGAATCATACCTTGGAAAACCTGAACATGATTTAAAAACTTATGGACCGAATGTAAATCTTGTCATTTCCAGCATACAACGAAAGAGAGCCTGAAGGAAGGAATTTGTGTTATAATAGGTAAAAGATATGACTATATATTTGGGATATGTGTTATCCAATACAATCAAAACAACAAAAAGCATACATATACCTGATAGGTCTGTGCATGGAACATTATATCATCCTTTAGCTGCTTTAGGGTTCTTTTGGGAGGAAGAAGACCACGAAGATAACCAATAGAGCAGCGAGAAGTACTATTGATATAAGTCACTGGCATTCGATCACCTATGAACCTAAACAACAAAAAGAATGTACGTATTTTTTCTAGCATCCAACAGAGCAGGTCTGTCAATATATAAACATAGAATTCGAATATAATAGTACCTATTTATGATCTTCTCATAATGGTGATTATAAGAACCAATGATCAGACGACTTCCAGGTGAAGATTGAAATACATATGCATCTCCAGTGGCATCTGTAATTGGCAGCCTTGTAACAGCAGTAACTGTGGTGATGAGAGGAAGTCGAGCTTCAGATTCCCCTACCAACTCCAAATACTTTGTAACTTCAGTTCCAGAGTAGTACACTGTCGCCCTGTCCCCTCTATACAAAATAACAAAAGATCAGTTAATCCCACATGGAGTCTAACAAACAAAAATCAGCACAAGAATATGCAAGAAACATGATGTCTTCTATGATGAGCTCAAAACTAAGAACACCATTAATTGGAAATCCTGGAATCGTCAGATGAACAACGCAACCTGTGACATCTGCAATTCAATTCATAGTAAGCAAATAATCATGAATACTTTCTGTGCAAACAACTTTCGAGGAAGATACCTCCATAATTCACAACTGCCTCTGTCTCTATTGGAATAGCCGAGAACGAAGTTTTCAGAAAAGCATTGACAGGAAACTTGGGATAACCCGGATTGTCAGGCACACAAAAGATGATCTGTTCACGACTTAAGACAAAGCGAACTTCAGCTGGAACAACACGCCTGTTTTTCCTCGCAGGAATAACATGAAAGCCATCCAGGACATGTAAATCTCCTACTTTCAACTTATGTTGCATTTCCTGAATGTCATTTTCCTCAATACAGGCCTCTAGCATATGTTCATGTTAAATGTGATTTAGTGCATTACTACAACAAAATCAAACATAAACCATAAATATTACATTACAGAGACGAATGACAGACCTCTTTGTCAAGACACAGCACATGCATTGTTCTTTTATGCCCCTGAGAGTCATCACCATGCTCAATCCATACATTAAGAACTCGAATGATCATAATATCAGTATAAGCACCCACACGTAGACCACGAAACACCATGCATGTGGAAATTGGGTCTGTTGCAAACGAAAGACAAAGAAAACCCACAAAACTTCACACCTCGGCAGTGTTCATTCATAAACCAATAAATAGAAACTTGAAACAGAAAGCAACGGAGCCGATACCTCGTGGAAGAGTTGGAAGCTTGAAATCACGCGGCATTATACAACGATGCCTGATATGGAAAGACAACGGAAGATCAAAAATTTGTTAAAGTGTAAAGAAACAGAAACAGAATGCAAAAGGAAAAACTATCGGCGAGCATACCCCATGAATACACGACTATCCCTGATCCAGAAGTCGCGAAACACTGTAGATCGTGGGAGCAGAAGTTCAGAGAACAGGGGAAGTTAAAAAGCAGAATCAGGAGCGAAATGAAAAGGCGGTGGAAGTTGGTTCCTAAAACGTTTTCCCACAACCATTATAAAATTATAAATATAATATTCAATGGGCTATCAATTGTTCCCATAATGGACCGAACAATTATAGAATGGGCTTCCCAAAAGCTATAGAAACTTAATATAAGCACAAAGGCATCTCCTATTCGGGCTAAATATGAGAATACTGGGCCCAATTCATATATCTGCTTACATATCGTAAAAGAGGGCCCGTTATTTATATTTATCTATACGCGCCCGGGCTTGAAGCAAATTGAGCACAAATGTTTCATTCGATAACACTTTAATCATGTAACCGCAGTTTGTTATTGTTTATTCATTTTTAACATTGTCAATAGTCCAGATGATGCCGCACAATTAAACTAAAGTTTGCTCTTGCTGTATATTTAGAACATGGGCTGTACTCGGTTCCTCGTTTATGGCTATGTTCCTCAAATTTGGTGATGTTAGGGTCAGTTTGTTCTGATATTTAGATGACTATCCACAGACATCTATATTATGCAACAGATTGGAACATGTCAAATTCCAAATTAAAGCCATGACTTCCACCTGCAATTTCTTGTTAAAATAAACAGGCACCATCAACTGGTTGCTCCTCTTTTCTTGCCTACATTCTAAAACCGTTGTAACCCATAATCGGATAGAAACCTTGACCATTGATCCATGAACAACACTGGAAAAACTCAACACGCAAGCTACTCAATAGTGCACCTCTTGTACTTGCAAAAGCTGAATATCAAACAAAAGATAAGTGACATGAGAGAGAGATGTGCACCATGGCAATCAACGTTATATTCGACATCATAAAAATACATAAACAACACCATTACACTACGTACACTAACTATACATATATCTTTTGTTCCTTCTCACAAAAACTTAGCTACTTTCTTTGTACAAAAGAGGTTCATTAGATACGCTAACACTTCCTAGCTCTGACTGTTCCTCCGCCCTCCAAATGTAGCCATCTCCCCTATCGTTAAAAGCACCCCATCTGGAAACATAGAAGGGCCAAAGTGAAATTCTCTATACATACATTTATTCAAAATAGTAGCAATTGCAAAGGCAACCCCTGTTCTGCCACCATGCAATAATTCATGGGTCACCATTCAAATACATTATAGAGAAGAATGCCAACAAATAGTAAGAGTGTATTCTAATCCTACTAAAGAACGTAATCACTCGTGGGCTCCAAACGCACCCAAAAAATTAGCAAGAACCATTTCCACTCAAAAAATTTGAAGAAGGCAGAAGCCCAGAGAGAGAAGAAGGCATGCGAGAAAATACAGCCAGAAAAAGAGGAGGAAAGGATCGGAACTCCGCGGGCAACGTGCTCAACTTCGCAAAGCACCACGCAGAAAATCCGGCCCAAACTCAAAAAAACCGTAGAAACCCACAAAGGTGGTAATGTAACAACAATGATCACAATTCACAACAAACCTAAAACGCAAAAGAAGAAGAAAAAAAATGGAGGGAAAGACAGGGAGTGGACGCGACCTTTAGCATAAGACTTCATGAAAACTTGCTGATCTGTACAGCCAGTATCCTATACTGGTCAGAAGTAGGCGCAAATAGACGACGCATTCTTCATCCTCACTGGTGCAGGGAAACAGCAGATGGCTGGCTCCTCAATCCTCATCCAATCAACCCCTTCATCCTCATCGAAATGACAAAAAACCTATCAGATCCACACAACTCATAAAACAATCCTCGATTTAAGATTCCGGAAATCACCAACAATCCCTCAAACAAAAAGATGAAAGAAAGATGTGATTATATATCGATAAATCGGAGATTCCTGACAACGGATCAAATCCCTTGATTAATGAGCATCTTAACTTTGATGGTGATTAACAAAGGTTACTGGCAAATACTATGGTTAGCAAACTGAACACAAAACAGCCTTTCAACCACCTGCAATTACAAACAGAAGCACAGGATCCAAACGATTCAGAGACTTGCAAAAAGAGAAAAGCAAACTCAACATAGAGAGACGGATAAATCACCTGGGACGAATACAAAACCTGCGAAACTGGATCTTCTCCAGACCTCTGAACTATCCCACAGTGGGTCTGGATCTCCTCCAGATCTCTTAAACCTTCTTCTTCGTGGCTTTCAATTCCACCCTTCTCCCAAGAAGAGAGATGAAAATTCCAAACGCAGAGAGGACACCGAGGAAGAGAGAGAGAGAGAGAGAGCAGCGGGAGAGGTGAATAACAAAAGGCGAGAGAGTAACATGCCAAAGAGAAGCAAAGTTTTCTTTAAGCACCAAGCTGAAGAAAAAAAAAGAAACAGATCCTCTCAATTAATTAATGCCTTAGCCTGCACAAAACAGTAATAGCCTCTCTCAGCGTCGAACAACGCAAGGACTTTCCAAGGCCTTCCAGAGACAACAAAACCCGGTCTTTTCATACAGTAGAGAAAAAGCATGTCAAGGTATCTCTCTGTATCCAGGAAACCCTCTTCTGTTTCTCGAACGACCCACCTCTCCAATGTCCAGGCATGTCACTCTCATCCACACATCCACAAAACCCGCCAGATCTCCCACCGCTCAATGATCCCTCCCCAGCAGAACACCCAAAGCAACTGAATAAGCCTCGGTCCACGCACCCGCCTGGGCCAAAGCAGCATATAGATCTCTGATGACGAACGCGCGTCAGAGCCACCAAACGACCCCAATGCAGAGATACTGAGCAACACAACTCCTTTCAATCAATTTTTCAGTTCCTCTCATGGCCACCATCTCTGAGCTATCCCATCTCCCAGCACAGTCTCTCCCAAACCCGCCAGATCTCCCACCACTCAACGATCCCTACCCAGCAGAACACCCAGAGAGTAACCGAAAACCCTCGATCTGCGTGCCCGCTCGGGCCAAAGTAAAATATCGATCTCTGATGACCAACGCGCGCCGGAGCCACCAAACGATCGCAACTAAGGCCAACCAGAACCCAACGACCAGTCCCACCCCGACCGAGCCCCCAAACCCCGCCAGATCCCAATGAGGCCTCACCCAACTCCAGCCCACACCGAAGGACACGCCAGTTTGAAACAGTAAATCTCAGTCACGTTGTACAGTAAAAGGTGTCTGTGTGCACAGTACACGGGCATGCGGCGGGTTTCTTTCTTTCAACAATTGGATCTCTATTACCACGCCGGTACAATTCGCCGTCCCCGTATATAGTCGGTCGCGCTATGAACCGAGCAAGCTCGCGAAGGCGGCGGCTAGCCTTTTTCTAATAAACAATCGCCTGAGAAGAATCACACATCAACGAATTTCTTTCCGCCATGGAAGACGAAGCAGAAATCTACGACGGCGCCCGAGCTCAGTTCCCTCTCACCTTCGGCAAACAGTCCAAATCCCAAACCCCTCTCGAGCAGATCCACAACGCCACTCGCCGTTCCGCCACCGCCGCTACTGCCAGCAACGAAAGCGACAAGAAGTCTTCATCCTCCAAACCCTCGTCTGAACCCGTTTCGCCTAAACCTAGGATTGGGCCCTCACGGCCGCCGCAGTCGCTAGCGAATTCCGATTCCAACCGCGAGGAAGACGATGACGACCGGGATGTCCCTGTCGGGCCACCTCCTCCGCCACCTGGGCAGACCGTGGATGACGATGACGATGGCGAAGCTATGGTCGGACCACCGAGACCGCCATTACGGGCTGTTGATGACAGTGATGATGATGATGGTGAGATGGTAGGACCGCCAAGACCAACTGCACCGGTGTCTGACTCGGATGAGGATGAAGATGAAGAAGAGGAGAATCAGCATCGAATTCCTACGAGCAATGAAATTGTTCTCAAGGGCCATACTAAGGTAATAATGCTGCACCAGAAGTTCGTCGTTTTCAGGGCTAAATACCTGAGTTTCATCGCTGCTGGAGCCCTTATGGAAAGTTTCAGCCCCTTAATCTACGCATTGCTTAATGAATTTATTTGTGTTGCTTGGCAGATCGTTTCAGCCCTTGCAATTGATCATTCAGGGTCTAGAGTTCTTTCAGGAAGTTATGACTACACTGTCCGCATGTATGACTTTGGAGGGATGAACTCAAGTTTGCAGTCATTCCGGCAGCTAGAACCATCTGAAGGTCATCAAGTTCGTCACATAAGTTGGAGTCCTAGTGCTGACAAATTTTTATGCGTCACTGGTTCTGCTCAGGCTAAGGTACGCGGGGATTTTTTTTCTTCCCCCATTTATATTTCTTTGCTTGGAAGGTAGAAGAACTTAAGGCCAGAACTGATGTATGCTCCGATTTCCTTGCTGTTTCAGATATATGATCGAGATGGACTTACTTTAGGCGAGTTTGTAAAAGGGGACATGTACATTCGCGATTTGAAGAATACCAAGGGTCATATTACTGGGTTGACTTGTGGCGAATGGCATCCCAAAGCAAGGGAGACAGTTTTGACATCATCAGAGGATGGATCTCTGCGTATATGGGATATAAATGATTTCAAAAGTCAGAAGCAGGTTGGTCATTTTATAGTCTCCGGAGGCTACCTCATGATCTGCTTGCCCTCTTGCTTTGTCCAGTTTCATGTGTGCTTCCGTACACTTCAGACGGTCAATATATCTTTTGTTTTCTGTATAGGGACTTCCAGGATTTCCACATAGCAACCCACAGATGCATGTGAGAACTACCTGATAGCTTGTGGCTTGATTCTTAAGAGCGACTAGTGCTTGTCCTTAAGTTCAAAGCTACCACAAGTTACCCAACCTTTTAGTCAAAGATAACTTCTTTTAAGGGGCTACCAGAAAAATCCAAATGGAAGACTACCCATTTCACTTATGGAGTCTGTGGTTGAATAAATTTTATAGTCAGGATAATTTCCTCAAATGTGGAGGAGTCTGTGTTCCCTGCATTTGTAGGCAGTGTTATGCTTTACTTCCAAAATGAGTGCATATATGACTTGCAGTATGTTTGTAAGCTTTATTAGACTAATATACTTGACTCTATGCTAAAAGGTATATGTTTATATTCTCCAATAATAGGTCATCAAGCCAAAGCTTGCTAGACCTGGAAGGACTCCAGTGACCACTTGCACTTGGGACCGTGAAGGGAAGTGCATCGCTGGAGGGGTTGGAGATGGTTCTATACAGGTTCGCCCTCAATCCCTCACTCCCCTTGTTTTGATATTAATGAACTGGCAAACAATGCTTTGTAGATAACATTTTTTTCGGCATAAAATTGTTCTTATTGTTTCTGTTCTACTTCTTCTCACCTGTAAACTCCTATTCGTCTATTGTTCTCATTATTATTATACTGAATTCATACAGGTATGGACTCTCAAGCCTGGATGGGGAAGCAGACCAGATGTGCACATAGAGAAGGCTCATTCTGATGAGATCACTGGGATTAAGTTCTCCAGTGATGGAAGAATCTTACTCTCCAGAAGTTTTGATGGTTCATTAAAGGTGGTGATAGAACTTTTTCTTCGATTCTTTTTTGTTGGAAAGTTTCTGAATATTTACCACCCCTTCTTTTCTCATATATTTAATGTATTTTTCAAAATGCTTTTCTAGGTTTGGGATTTGCGGAAAACGAAAGAGGCTCTCAAGGCATTTGAGGATCTTCCTAATAATTATTCTCAGACTAATGTTGCTCTAAGCCCTGACGAGCAGCTAATTTTGACCGGAACGTCTGTTGAAAGGGAGAGCCCAACTGGAGGTTTGTTGTGCTTTTTTGATCGTTCAAAACTTGAACTTGTTTCGAAAATTGGTGTCTCCCCAAACAGTGTTGTGCAATGTGCTTGGCACCCTAAGCTTAATCAGGTGAGTCCAAACCGCTGAATAATTAGATTTTGTATGGGCTACTGCCTATTAGTCTAATATAATCGTCTTTGTCACGGCCAGTGATCATCATGTTAGTTTGAGAGATATATTTGCTTCACTAGCTGTAAATTCATATTATGCACATGAATCATTGCCTAGAAAATTAAGTATGCTAATCTCTTCTTGTTTCTTTATGTATATAAAGATTTTTGCAACGACCGGAGATAAAGGCCAAGGCGGAACTCACATCCTTTATGATCCAACCCTGAGTGAGAGAGGAGCTCTGCTCTGTGTTGCTCGTGCTCCGAGGAAAAAATCGGTGGATGATCTTGAGATTCAGCCTGTTATCCATAATCCTCATGCACTGCCCTTATTTAGAGATGCACCAAGCCGCAAGCGTCAGCGCGAGAAGATACTGAAAGATCCCCTCAAGTCTCATAAGCCTGATCTTCCCATGACTGGGCCAGGACATGGTGGGAGAATTGGTTCAAGTAAAGGAAGCATGCTGACTCAGTATCTGATGAAGGTAATATTTCTACTACTACTACCCATGTCTTTGTTGTCTGTCCAACTTTTTTCTTTTTTCCCAAGTCGACGAATGCCCATTCCGACCAGTTACTGAATCTGCCGAGTGTTTGCATTAACTTGCAGAAAGGTGGAATGCTCAAGGAAACATGGATGGAGGAAGATCCTAGGGAAGCCATACTCAAATACGCTGATGTTGCAGCTAAGGATCCGAAGTACATAGCTCCTGCATATGCAGACACCCAGCCTGAACCAGTATTTGCCGAGTCGGATTCTGAAGATGAAGAAAAGCGCTGACCGCGCATTAGTCATCCTTTACCTGCTTTGCTAACAGGCGGTACAGAAGGCAGTGGTACACTTTTCTTAGCTTTGATCTGATTCGCACAACTCCTTTTCTACGTCTGCAATATATGCTGACAGCGGCTATTCGACTTTCCATGATTACGATTTGCAGATGGATCAACTTGAAATGTTGCACGACCTGAAGGTGTAGTAGAAGCTAACTGAATCCCAGGGTTCCAGACTCGGACGTAGCTTCTATACCTATACCATTATCAAGAGAGTCTGATGCTACACCATATGGCCGCTTCCATTGTCCAATCCCCGCCGCCTCTTCCGTCTTGTAGAATTCACGACTTTGTAAAATTTTCGACTCGGATTAAATTAGCCCTGTACTTTTGTTTGTGTACTCCCTACTCTAGAGCTATTAAATACTGCACTAAAATGCGAAGCGAGGTTCGTGTAGTTTTATTATCTGAACCGTGATAGGATCGACCTCGGCGGGAACGGCTACGGTGCTAATTGTACAATAGTTAGCACCGTCCTAACCAAGGGGAAAACTACTACTAGTTTGAATTAGTAGTGATTTAGCTTAGATGTTGTACTGATTTTATAATAATCCGTAGTGATTTTTGCTAGTTATCACGGTTCTAACCCCTATAAGGGTTAGCACCTAATCCCATCCCGACCTCGGCACATTGGTGGGTTTGTTTGTTAACTTGTAATTTTGTTTCATGTGCCTGTTGATAGGGTGTTCAGATGGGTGGTTACCGTGGTCAGTTAGTGTTGTTCAAACGGGTCTGGGTCTGTATAGTATAACAACAATTAAATTGTTATTATAGTAACATCATAATTCATTAAGAGCAAAAGAGTAAATTACATAGAAAGTAATAAAATAATTTGATTAAATCCACTATCTTCCTTCAACCCCATTGCGTGCGATGCTTCTCCTCCGCTCCCCTTCTTCCCCGCCACCCGCCGCCCCTGCTTCTTCCCCGCCACCCATGCTTCTTCTGTCATCGGGCGTTTGATTTCGCCATCAGCGGCGCCAATCCGTATCTCTACCATCGCCGGCGCCATCGCATCAGTTGCATCGTCGGTGAAATTGCCGTTGAACTCACTGTTTGCTCGTGATTGAGCTCGGGATTGGGGAGAAGAAGGCTTCTGATGGATTGTCACCGTATTCTCAATCGATATATATAATTTAGGTAGAACCCCCAAACGAGGCATTTAGCCGCGGCGTTGTCTAACATGACCTAGGCGTACGCGTGGGTAAGTTTAAGCGTGCTTGCTTTTAGGACCATGATTTTTATTGCGTAATTGTGCATTCTTTCTGCTGAAAAATTGATTATGTTTAGGCTTCATACATACTGCTAAGGTTTGGGGGTTGAGATGATTAGGGGAAGAGAGAGCAAAAGGTAGCTACTAGCTACAGATGGATTTTGAAAGCGTACCTTGTGGTAGCGCTGGGTGTGCTGGGTGTCGTGGCGGTGTGTCTATCTGTGGAGAAGAAGGAAGAAGAATGAAGAGGAGGACTATGGGAATTTATAAAAACACACCAAAATCTTGTAATGTAAATAATAAATATCATGAAACATACTAGAAACACCATAAACAACATCACAAATACTTTTAAAGCACATCAGAAACTTCATAATGCAGACTACAAATTACCTAAAACATACTAAAAACACTACAAAGCAAACCACAAGTCTTTCATAAGCACACCGGAAACCTCCTAATGCAGACCACAAACGTGATAAAAAAAACCAAAAAAAGCAAACCAGAAACCTCCTAATGCATACCACAAATCCCCTAAAACAAACCAGAAACCCCACAATGCAAACCACAATGTTTTCGAAAGCACACCAGAAACCTCCTAATACAAACTACAAACACGGTAAAGCAAACCACAAAAATAAACCAGAAACGTCCTGATGCATACCACAAATCTATTAAAACAAATTAGAAACCCCGTGTCGCAACCGTCCCGTCCGGGGGGTCCGAATGTCGTCGCGTCGGCATTTTTGGGAGTCGCCATCGATCTTAGTTGGAGTGGATCGAACACTCTTAGGATCGGCTCTAACCTTAGGGTCAGAACCGAGATCTGGTCTGCGAAAATGAAGTTCTGGGTTCGGGAGTACGGTTACGTGTGGGGAAGTTAAGCAACACCCCCACAACGCCCTAAATCGGTACTACTTAAATCGATAAGTTTTATACGAGTTGGGTGTATTTTAGTAATAATTTGTAATTTTAGGGGTCCCACTGGACCATTTAATGATTTAATCATATTAGTTGTAATTTAATTATACGCCCACTGACGTAAAAATTTAAAGATAAAGTTAGTTGATTAATTGGACTCGAACCTTATCGGTTGCCTACATACCCGTTAGACGGGATCAAAGTCCACGTAGTTCGTTTGGACTTTGATAGTTTAATTGTGACATTTTCATCACGTTCCACTGATCGTGATTTTCGTATTATAATTTATGTTAATAAAATTTAATTTGATTATTATGAAATTATGAAAAGAGAATTTAATAATTTAAGTTATTAGGAAGAGGCTTGACTCGTATTGGAAAAGAAACGAGATAAACTTAATCCGCATTTACCATTTCGTATTAAGAACTATAAACAAATAAACTTAAGCGGGACAGTTAATTTAACATATAATTGTCGGCAGCCCAACTGGTCAAACCGCTAGCCGCCTCTGACCCAGAGACCGCGGGTTCGAAACGAACTGAGTGCAATTTTTTTGATTTTTTTCGTTTTAGTGTGGGGATGGGGGAAGGGCATTCTAGTAATTGCTCGAAAACACGGTGGCACGGCCGCGTAATTAACGATAAACCCTAGGGGTATTTTGGTCGTTGTAATCGATGGGTTATATATACTCTCTAAAGAAACCCTAATCAATCTAAAGAGAGGCGGCCGCCCTCTCTCTCTCTCTCGTCCATCTCATTCTTGCCTCTCTCTCTTCCTCTCGATCCTTCCACTTCTCTCTTCCTCTTCCAGAAAAAACCAAACCCTAGCCGAACAAAAACCGCCGCCCTCTCCTTCCTTTCTTCTCCCGCGTCCAGAGAACCCAAACCCTAGCCCTGATCCAAAATCGCCGTCTTCCTCTCCTCTCATCCCTCGTCTCTCTCTCGTCCAGAGAACCTAACCCTAGCCCCAATCGAAACCGCCGCCGGCAAAACGACCCGAGTGAGGAAACTCCTCGGAGTTTCTCCTCTAGCCGCCGCTCTTTGTCTCCTCGATATGGCATGAGTCGCCAAAAATCGAGCGGGAGACCTTCGATCTAGGTAAGATCGTTACATGCATGGTTTTGTTTTCTATTTTTTTTATTTTTATTTCGGACTCTTCTAATTTTTGGGCTTCTGGGTTTTTGTTCTGTCGAGGAAAGATGATAGGGGACAGGAGTCGTCGGTGGCGGAGCGATTTCGTCAATGACGAGTAGATCTGGGTGAGGTTTTGATTTGCATGTTGTACAATCATAGGTTTTCTGCTTTTATTTTTTATTTTTTGTTTTTTTGTTTTTTTTATAAGAATTCTGATCTTCTTCTTTCGGGTTTTGGGTTTTAACGGGGAGGACAAGGGAGCGGACCGCCGGTGACGGCCAGACCCAGAGACAGACGACGGCGACTGAGAGAGAATTCAAAGGTTCATTCTCTTTTTATTGCCTGTCGATTTTCTTTTGATTTTTTATCTTATTTAAAAAACGAATTCTGATTATGTGGTTGTTTCTTTTTGGTTTCGGATTTGGATTCGGACGAGGAGGAGAAGGGAACGGAGGGAAAGGTGAGACTTTTGGTTTCTAAATTTGTTATTTTATTTATCTTTTTTTTTTTAACAAAAGCTTAATCTAATTCAGACTTTACTCTTCATCTTTTGCAGGTTTGGAAGAGAGGCCAGATCTGGGTGAGACTCTTCTAACCTCGGTTTTGGTATAATTAGGGAAAATTAGACTAAATAAACTGACTATTATTTACAGATCTGTGGTTTGGAAACATTATGTGTGTGGGTTTGATGGTCTCGAAATTTTATGCTTCGTGGTTTGGTCGATGTCTTTAGATACGGCTATTGATAGGCTTAAGAGTTTGTGAAAAGAAAATAATTTCCTTTGATAGAAAACTAATTGACATGAACTAGAAATGCTAATTTTGACTAAAAATAGATCACTTTTGCGTATGGTTTTTCTAGAGATTTGGACTAAATCACTGCTCGTGATTTTGATTGGATTATTATTTTGGTTGATTTAAAAACTGGTTAGAATTGGTGAATCTGAAATTTTATTGCGTTTATAGTGTTTTCGTTAGTTCAAGATCTAGGTTGATCATGGACTCCTAAAAAGCAGTTTTTTATTGTAAAAAAAAAATGTATTATTTAGTTGTACTTTAATTCGCATACATATGGCTACGGCCTACGGGTGTGGGAAATCAACATGCCGGAAAGTTAAAGTGAAGCATCTGATTTCATTCATGATTAAGTTAATTGGCATAGTAGTTATAGCATAGACAAAGCTAATAATACGATTGAAAAAAAAAACAACTTGGATGAAGGAGCTTGAAGGAGCTGATATGAGTTGATCTTTGGTAAATAGAGTGGAGCTTGTAAAATAAAACTCTTGCATATAAATGGGCAAGTAGATTGATGATTATAGCGTCATTGGTATTGTAAACTAGACGAAATGACAGGATCAGATTAAGAAGATGAAACTAGAGTACTAATACCAACCTGGTTGGAGTTTCTATGGCGTTGCAAATTCGCTCCTCGATCTCGCAATCCTTCCCCCGAATTTTTGCCTATGAGCAAGAGTTGCAGAAGAGAGTTTTGATGTCAAATTTTATTTCTCTAGAGTGTTTTTTTGCTGCCTCCTCCTTTGTGCTTCTTAATGCTCCTTGTCTGCCCCTTTAGTGTTTAATGCCTTTCTGTCTTTTTTGTGTTTTCTGTTGTTGGTTCCCCCTCCCTCTCTTGTTTGGGGTAAGACAGCTTCTTATATATTGCTGCCTTTTACTGTTCATACCTGTGTGTTGGCTGTTCCTCCTTTGTTCTTGAAGTGGTGGCCTGACCCACTTATGTTGCTGGCAATTTGGGATTGGTTCTTGGAGGAGGTGGCCGAAATCCTCTTTTTGGATTTGGCAGAAACTCTGCTGCTCTGCTGTTCTGCTACTCTGCTGTTCTGCTGCTCCTTTAGATAAGGATGATGGGTTTGGTTGATTGGGTTGACCTGAGTTGACCGATTTGACCAGAGTGGACCTGGGCCGACCATACTGGATTGGGCCGAAATATGGGCCTGGGTTGAGTTTTATAGTTTGAGAATTGGGCTGCTGGTGTGGGTTTGTTTCTGATAGTTTTTTTTTAATGTATAATTACTAAGTGTATCTTAAAGGTTATAAATTGTACTTTGTAATTACACATTTATTTATTTATGTTATTGCCTTCAGAATTAGATGATCATTGTATCTGTATGTAGTGCTCAAACATTCAATTGGTTCTTCCAACCCAATTTGCTCACTTATCCAATTTCAAACCAAATCCAAACATCTAATCAATGCTTCCCAAACCATGGATTTGGGTCGTTAAAGCAAAATTACCAATCTTTCTATACCTTTTGACCAACTTTAGACCAATGAGACCAACTGAATACAATGACATTAGCATAGTCGTGACAACATACTATTGTTATTCTAAATAAAGCGAATTCGGTAGCCATTAGCTACTGCTAATCCTACCTAGTACAAATATTCGAACCAAATACTATTGTTATTCTAAATAAAGCAAATTCGGTAGCCATTAGCTACTACTAATCCTACCTAGTACAAACATTCGAACCAAATAAAACGGACTTAAAAAATCGTTGGTACTTATTGATTTGCCATTGCTAATCTCAACCAACCTCGTCCAAATTTTTACTTGAGTTTTCTTCTTAAGTGGATATTCTTTTGAGTTTTGAGCAGGATGGTTGCTCCGGACAAAATGTGGTGTCTACAGTTGCCCCCCTTTGTATATCTCTTTGTATAAAGAGTTATACAAAGTTCTTATAAAGACACCACATTTTCTAAAAGTATCATGATGGTTGTGTTAGCGTCCTTGAAATAGGATGTGATTTGAGGATGATGTTAGGATAGTGAGTGATTTGGTGTGTTTGTATAAGATTTCCGACAGCGAGAACTTCTGTTTCTTTGATCATCTTTGCTGCTGATTGAAAATTTACTTTTTTACATAGCGTTTGCCGACGCGAGTAATTTTCTGATACTCACTATATTGTACTTCTTGATGCTCGACAGCGTCGACGGTTTCTTCTTATGCCCGTCAATCATCTTCTGCTATATTTCGTTAGCGCTTGCCAGCTCCGGTTAGGTATTGACTGGTAGGGGCGCTCGTTATCTCTTATGCGTTATTGAATGATAGAGGGGCTCGCCAGCTCCTATGAGGTATTGATTTGGTAGGGGTGCTCCTCAGCTCTCGTGAGGTATTGAATGGTAGGGGCGCTTCTCAGCTCATGTGAGGTATTGATTTGGTAGGGGTGCTCCTCAGCTCCCGTGAGGTATTGAATGGTAGGGGTGCTCCTCAGCTCCCTTGCGTTGTTGACTGATAGAGGGGCTCGCCAGCTCCTATGCAGAGTGGGTGAAGGGTTTTTTTTCGGCTGCGGTAAGCATACTCGGGAATTTGGTTGCCCCCTCGCGGTATGCGGAGCGGGGTTAGGTTTTCTACATTGTCCGTGATAGTCGACGAAACAAGTTTTAGAAGGAGGGATTTCATTTGCTCGTGAAAGTCGACGAAACAAATTGACTTGGTTTTCTAAACTGGCCGTGATAGTCGACGGAACAACTTCGGAAAGAGGTTTTAAATTTGCTCGTGATAGCCGACGAAGCAAATTGACAAGGTAATTTTTGCCTTGCCCGTGATAGTCGACGGAACAAGTTTAGAAGGAGGTTTTAAATTTGCTCGTGATAGCCGACGAAGCAAATTGACAAGGTAATTTTTTCCTTGGCCGTGATAGTCGACGGAACAAGTTTAGAAGGAGGTTTTAAATTTGCTCGTGATAGCCGACGAAGCAAATTGACAAGGTAATTTTTTCCTTGGCCGTGATAGTTGACGGAACAAGTTTAGAAGGAGGTTTTAAATTTGCTCGTGGTAGCCGACGAAGCAAATTGACAAGGTAATTTTTTCCTTGGCCGTGATAGTCGACGGAACAAGTTTAGAAGGAGGTTTTAAATTTGCTCGTGATAGCCGACGAAGCAAATTGACAAGGTAATTTTTTCCTTGGCCGTGATAGTCGACGGAACAAGTTTAGAAGGAGGTTTTAAATTTGCTCGTGATAGCCGACGAAGCAAATTGACAAGGTAATTTTTTCCTTGGCCGTGATAGTCGACGGAACAAGTTTAGAAGGAGGTTTTAAATTTGCTCGTGATAGCCGACGAAGCAAATTGACAAGGTAATTTTTTCCTTGGCCGTGATAGTCGACGGAACAAGTTTAGAAGGAGGTTTTAAATTTGCTCGTGATAGCCGACGAAGCAAATTGACAAGGTAATTTTTTCCTTGGCCGTGATAGTTGACGGAACAAGTTTAGAAGGAGGTTTTAAATTTGCTCGTGATAGCCGACGAAGCAAATTGACAAGGTAATTTTTTCCTTGGCCGTGATAGTCGACGGAACAAGTTTAGAAGGAGGTTTTAAATTTGCTCGTGATAGCCGACGAAGCAAATTGACAAGGTAATTTTTCCTTGGCCGTGATAGTCGACGGAACAAGTTTAGAAGGAGGTTTTAAATTTGCTTGTGATAGACGACAAAACAAATTGACTAGTTAGTTTCTAAATTGCCCGTGATAGTCGACGGAACAAGTTTAGCAGGGGATC